CGAGCCCGGGTTGGGATGCGGTGAGTTCCAAGGTACGTAGCCGTCATACGGGTGTCGTTGCGAACCAGAGTTTCTTCCTCGTCCACGTCCACGGCCGCCTCCACCGCGACCGGAGTTGCGCCCCTGCTGCCCGCGACCGCCGCCGTTGCCGCCATTGTGCCCACTGCCGGGCGTCCCACCGCTGCGCCCGAAACCGCCGCTACTGCCAGTTCGGCCAGCTATGAGCGCCGTGCCAGCATCGTCCATGATGGTTTGTCGTTGCCGTTCAAGGAGCAGGAGAGCGGATCGGGTCTGAAGGAACGTGGGCAGCGGTTGTTGGAATTGCAAGAACGATGTCTGAGCTTGGAGATCGTCGGGTAGCCCACGAAGCATTTGAAGCACAAGTTGAGACTCAGAGACCGGAGCGTCAACATCATCCAACCAATCGGCAATGTTCCGCAAAGTTTGACAGTAAGTAGCCATGGTCATCGAACCCTTGATGGTGGTTCGAAACTGGTGCTCGAGTTGCATCGCCTGAGCATGTTTGTTGTCATGAAAGAGAGCATGAATAACCTGCCAGAGTTCAGCGGCGGTGGTGGTGGTGGAGATGACCAGATCTGAAACTTCGTCAGTGATGGTAGAGAGAATCCAACCTTGGATCAGGGCGTCAAGCTGGTACCATTCATCATCATCGGCAGAAGAAGGAGTGGTAGAACCTGAGAGAAAGCCGTGGAGGGTGAATCGGCGCACCAGGAGGAGAAAGAGCCGACTCCACTTTTTGTAGTTGGGCTGAGAAAAGCTGAGCTGAATCGGGACATGAAGCTTGACGTTGGAGATTGTTGTGAAGGCAAGATGAGGAGCATTCGAGGAGGAGGAAGAGGTTGAGTTTTCAGAGGCTTTATCAGAGGAAGCCATATTGAGAAGAGAAGGTGCTGTCGTCGCCGAGGAAGAGAGGGGCTGTGCTGCGATGCTGCTGCCGCTGAGGAGAGGAGGACGGCGGGTGGTGTGCGGCGCTGGGAGAAAGCACGCCGAGAGGGAGGGAGAGAGCACGGGTAGGGTTAGGGTTTTTGGGTTGAGAGATTATGGCTATGATACCATGAAGAATTATGATTTTCCTTCAACAATAATGTGGGAGTACATGTGTTTATATACACAAGCTATTCCTAATCCTAATCATGGTAGGATTCTACAATAGGAAACAATATACATACAATAAATACAAAATATATATTTAACATAAATATAGAATATATTTAACAATACTTTTTTAAATGTAATTTGCATTTTTTAATTCATTTCATTGACCTTTACCCAAGAATATCCATAATTATAAAAAACTAAAATTATTTCCCAAGCATTGAAGTAGAATTTTTCGATTTAAAGTATTAAATACTTCGACGTATAATTAGACTTGCTAAAACCAAAGTAATTTAAAGTAAAACTTTATAATATTTTTGAAATTTCAAAACTGACGGAAGTATAAAAATCATTTTACACCTATTACATTGTTGATAAAAATATTTTATATAAATATAATTTCTTGAAACACACCCAATTTATATAAAAATTAAATGTAGGGTTAAAATCAATTCAAATCAACCTACAAATTTGAAAAACAAGTTTAAAAAATAGAGAAAAAGAAATAGAAAAAATAAATTCCGGGTTTTCTGATTTTTACCCGGACCGGACCGGAAAAATCCGGTCTGGACCGGAATTTAACCGGTCCGGTTTCCGGTCATATGCTTTAGGGGATTCTGGGTTTCTGGTTTTTCCAGTTCTGGTCCGGTGTACACCCCTAACACACACATCTTTCATATTTGTACACGCACAGATATTGAATGTGTATATGTCTATTTTTTGTTTGGTGTACACTTAGAATATCTCATTTTTATATACTCCTAGCATTACCATTTTTGGTAATGTATGGGAGGGTATTTTCTGTCCACATTGCTCTTAGGGGTGAAGATTCTGCAATACAACATATTTTTATATATATAAAGCAGAGTCGGAGCTATAAGAACGTGACATTTAACAGAGCTAAAGCGTGACATGTGGCGAGCTGCTGTGGCGACATTTGGCAAAGCTAAAGCGCAACATATGGCGAGCTGATGTGTCACCCTTTTAGACAAACTGATTGGTTTGACCGGTCAGACCAGTTCTTGTTTTGCAATTTTTTTCCAAAAGCATACCACCATGGGGTTTGAAACAAGGATCTCTTGGTCATTTAGTTGAGAACCTAACCATCCAAGCCATGGTGCTTTTTGTTACAATCTCACTTAAGCTTTTATAATGTTTCATAATTAAAAAAGGATTGTATAAAAATTTCTTTTTAGTTATAAAAAATATAATCCTTTAATATAATATTTGAGATTCCGTTTGCTAGAAAGTCACTAAGTGTCAAGCTTATGTGGGCTATATTAAGGTGAGATGACAAGTCTTTATTGGTTGCTTATGTGGCAAATTTTATTAATGATGAATTGACCTTTCTTTTTATTTTAAAATAGATATTTAATAATGATTTCAAATTTTGGAAAAATTTTACGTTAAACAAATAAAGAATTCATTACTTCATGACATTAGTTGAGTATTTTTATTTTTTATTTTTAAAAAGCAATTCATCTATTTATTTGTTATGATGTGATAAAATTAATTATGTTATAAAATCAAATTTGTAAAAGATAAATATAGTATTGTCCGAAATAAAATTTTTAAAGGAAACAATTATATAAACTATAATTTTATGATAAAACTTATTATGATGTAGCAAACAATTAGTGAAAATATAAAATTGGTATTATCATCTACCATTTCAAGACTAGCATTTTTTATGAATCAAATTTTTAACTAAGTGCATACACAAAAAACAAAATTTTGATAATGATATATTCTCATTTAAAAGTATTCTTATAGAAAAGGATCAAATATATTTATAATTGATCCTTTATTTATAAAATTGAGAAGCTGAGATGTGATATTGTTTAAGAGACATTTCTGACACGTAAAATATATTATAGAAAGTAAGAAGTTAATACTATTGTATGAAGTCCTTCGGTACAATTAATTATGGAAGAGAATATAGATATTCGTTTTATAATAAATTATTTTCTAATTATGTATAATTTTCTATTCAATTATTACAAAACTTCTAAAAGTGTGTTTGGTGAGCAAAAAAAATATGAGTTTTGAATTTTGATATCTCTAAATATCCTTATCCTTTTCTGGTGTTTGGTGAAGCGAAAAGAGTTATCACATTTAATATCTGCAGATATCATAAATCTTTAAAATTGATGGTCTCAATATATCTCGAATTTAGGATATATCAATATGGGGGTTTGATATCTCTCTCAACTATTGATCATTCTTCGTCACTCGCTACCATTATCACTGCCAACCACTCTCTTTGCCAGTCACCTTTTCTTATCAGTAATTAAATCCTAAATTTAAATTTCTCCAAATAAAATCATTTTAGATTACAAAGTCCATATCATTTCTCTGAGTTTTCATAACCCACATCTTATAATATCTCCAAAATTCACCAAATTGGCCCTAAGCAATTAATAAGATATTTCTTCACTTTTAAATAAATTTCATATTTTTATGATATATTTAAATCGAAGCAGTCAGTTTGATTATATTTATTAAAATATGAGAAGATTAGAAACACTTATTTTAAAACTACAATGAAACTTTATAAAAATGAGAAGATTAGAAAATAAATTGTTAAAGCACGTAAAATATATTAGACTTTTAAGTTGTTGAGATAACATATATATTTTGTACTCAATAGCTTGGTTTTATATTTGCAATTACTTCAGACACAATTTTGATGTCAACAATTGTGTCTTTTATCAATTCAAATTACATTTTTAAATCTCAAATTTTGATTATATTATATTCATAAGAAATTTAAGAACCAGATATATGTAATATGAATAAGTACACAATTTAGGGTTTAGAAATTGTATCGGATTAATTAGAAATACATGACTAATATGTTGAGTATGAAATAAATGTACTATCTCATCTAATTAGAAGTTCTAATTACGTTAAGGACTATTTTCAAATTAAAATATTTTTTAGGGATGACTTTATCAAAAAATATTTTATAGAGACTAAAAAATTTCTTATATTATAAGGTATAAAAACATATTTAAACCTATTTTTATTATATTATAAAAGATAAATGATTAAAACAAAATATATCGTTGGGACTTATTATATTACACTAACATTATTTATGATTTTATTATCATTGAGTACATTTAATTAAGAAAGAGAGATATTTATTTTTTTATTAGAATATTGTTTTAATTTTTTTTCCATTTCATTTATAATAATAGTTTCAATGAATATATAAACTACTCTCTTTATCTTTAAAAAAATTTCATATTTCTTTATGTTATGATTAAGAGAATTTAGATTTATTCCATTTATTTAAATAGTGATGTAAAATAACAAATACTTCTTAATTTGATTTGACTTTTGTAGGATTATTTAGCAGGATTATTTAATTTGACTTCCATACAGAGTATTACTTAGCAGGATTATTTAATTTGACTTTTGTACTTTATCTTTCTATTTTGACCTATTATTTTAATCAAAGAAGGTTTACACTGTAACTTACCATATTTAAGATGTAACTTAATATTTATAAATTTATATTAGGTGATAATTCACTATATTGATGCATGAAAATAAAAAAGACGGATGAAGTATGGCTCGATTCTTTTTTCTTCATTTTCGCAATCATACAAAGAAATTTAACAAAATGATAATCTTAGAGATGAAGCGATATATAACATGGACTTTCACAAAAAAGATTTCTATAAGGAAAATTAAGATTTGGAGATTGAGAAACGCGGAAGATCTGTGACAATTAAAATTTAGATGCAAGGATAATTAGTAATTTAAGGAGAAGTACAAAGAATATCTTATGTGCAGAAGTGAATAAGATTTAGGTTAAACAACAATATCAAAGAGAAATATAATTTTTAAATTGTAACTCTTTGTATTTTATAAAACATTATGTATTGACCAAAATACTTTCACACACTTAAATGATTTAATATTTAAAAAGAAAGCAAAAAATGAGTAAAAATTGTGAAATAGTTTTTGTAAAATTTCATTAAAATCATAGAATCACTAATGTTTTTTTGCATTCACATAATTTTTAAAATAATATGAGGGAGAATAATCATTATATTTTAAATGTATTGTAAGATTTATATTTCTTATCATATGATTCTTAATTTATGTTTTCATACTTTTAATAATACAAGAAAAAAGAGTCAATTTTTAATTAGTGCAAAGGGCCAAGGAGAAAAGAATCACATTAATGCATCATAGAAATTAAAATCATATATTTCCGTTAATGTAAATTAATCTGGCGGAGAAGAATCATGATTTTTTTATATTAAAATTACAAGATCGGAAATCTAAGTTTGTTAAATAAATGCGGGGGAGAAGAATAATAAAATAACCAATGTTTTTGTCGTATATTTTTTGAATTCAGGGGGTAAAAAGAATTATATATTTGTAATAATTTAGTAAACCTAGATTTTATGTGTGTGTGTGTGTGAAATTTAAATGGTATATAACATAAAAAAATTAAGTTGTTTAAATATTTGATATTGTATAATAAAAAACAATTTCGTTCCACCCGTGCATGGCACGGGTTATAATACTAGTATATTAAATTTGAGAGTTAAACTCTTATATTTGTGACAAGTGGCGCGTCTACATGAAAACATTTTAACAAATCATCCGCCACCTAATAACGACTTGAATGGCATGTCAATTTTAGTCAAAATATGAGTAGATCCAATTTATGTTGTATATGGAGTATATGCCTTATGTACAAAGTGCCGCTATAATTTTTTCGAAAAAATACTTCGTACCAGAACAAGAATAAAATATGGAGAAAGTACCAAAATAAAAATACCTATTTTTTATCTCCAAAATAGGAGCTGCCAAACAAGAATAGATTCCTCAGTTTCAAAAAGAAGTTATTGGTAATACATTTCTATCCAAAGACCATGTTTGTTCTATATATCGAGGGTATATTATGGAAGAAATTAGAACCTTCATGAAATTTTATGCAATTGAGTGAAAATTAAAATTCATA